CCAGCCAGCGACGGCAAGTCTTCTCGGATCGGTGGCACGAGAACAGGTGATACCCCACAGAACACAACATGCACACCTGGGAGGAAATCACACGGTGTCATTACAGACTGGATTATTACTTGAGATTATTTATGTTTAAAGACTTTTTTTAACGGATGTCATTGTTGGATTCATCGAGTAAATCTCTTTGCTATGTTTTAACAACAAAAATCCTTCTGGGACTGTAATACATAAACTTATCTCATGAAATAATGATTTGTAAGGACAATCTAGATACAAAACATGCACTTCTAGGGACAAGAGAAAGGGGTTTTAGGAGGAGGATGGGAGGGTAACATACACTACACTATAAACTTAATGTAAATGTGAATCACACTAATTTTTATTACATTAACATGAAGTTCCCAATCCCATTATCAGCTGCTACATAACCTGCAACACAAACTGTACACAGCAAAAGGGACTCTGAATTACACCACTATTCCTACTGAAGCTCTTTATAATACAACACACTGTGCCCCACCTCTAGTTAACAGTTACACCTACACATAGCTTACACACCTTGGTGGGAAGAGGTGAACTGATTGCACCCTGTGGCATGAAAGGTGAACCTACATAAATAAGTCTGTTAAGCCATACAAATATACTGTAACACAGGACACTGCGTACATTACTAATCATATACACAGCTCATAATATACTCATTCTTAAGAACAGCTGCAAAAAACAGGAAAGGCCAACAGTAAATACTGTTCGTAAAATTACAGACATACACCTGCAGATTATGCACATTGCTGGGAGGAAACCTTATTTTCTTAAGCCTGGAGCATGCTGCATGGCTGTCAAAATGGCAAAAGGCATTGCTCTTCCTGAACAGCATCTTTGCATTCAGTTTTATTTTGAAGCAACAATGTGTGGATGATAGTACAACACTTTCTCAGAGATCACAAGGAGATGAAAATTGCAGCTTTTGTCACTCTGCAGTGCACACAGCCAAATAAGTTTTACCTGGAAGCAGAACAGCCCTATAGCGTAGATGACATAGTCCTCTCTGTTTGCTCCAGAGGCTGGCAACACTGAGGAGAGGTCGTTGACTGCCAGAGAGAAGAAGAGCAGGAAACCCAGAAGGTGGCTCCAGATATTCACCGTCTCATTGGACAGAATGAAAATACTGCAAGAGAAAAAAGGAACAAAGACACGCATATGTCAAAAGGGCCAGTCTGTATGCAAATTAACACATACCAGTATAAGCTATAAAGTCGTAAACAACACAAGACAGAAGTTCTTTCAACAGAGTAGCAAAATTAATACTCAATTGGACATCACTGGTATGTAAAAGTACACATTTCCAACATGACTCCCACCTCCTCAGGCAGAGCTTGGAGGGCAGGTGAGCCCTGTAGCCGTCTGTAATGTAGGGGTTTTCTTTGAGGAAGAGGGGGATTTGTTCGTAGGTGTACAGCCTTATCCTCTGGGGTATCAGCACCGGCCAGTGCTGGTAGCTGCCCAGCTCGATGTAGTGGGCAGTCTTCAGCAGCTTCTGGGGCATCTTCAGTAGCATCTTGTCCTCTGCTCCTCTGGTACAGTGCGAAGCTGGGGAGGTTAAAGCTGAGTTTGGAGGAGAGAGGAAAAGAGAAACCACCAAAAGCTCTCCATTTAGTTCATTTTAATTTAATTCATATTGTTAAATAAATAGTTAAATCAAGTGACGAGATAAAGATTCAAGAGCAGACACAACAGCCAGTGATGATTTACCCCGTTTAAAACGTGTATTAATCACGTGTTTACATGTAAGCTTGCTAAATCTAACGTTGGTATTCTCCACCCAAAAGGATTTGTTTACCTGTCCCAGATCTGCATTATGGGTCACTGATTCTACTTATATTGTATTTTGTTCCCAAGTGCTGCTGTGCCAATTTGAATTTCCCCTGCGGAGAAGCATCTTATCTTATCTTATGTTGACTCTTCAACGCAGACTCTATCACCTCTTTCCCTTTGAGATAACTTAAAGCTTTTACAATAGCGAAACATCGTCAACCTGTCAGACCCTTTTGTTATTGTCCAGCCATGTTAGCAGGCTAAACCCCGGCTAGCTTGCGTTACCGTTTACCTTTACAGGCACTATTTTAGCCAGCTAAACTGATAGAAAACAGGGCTAAAAAGCTCACCATTAGTCGCAGTCTGACTGTCGATGTCCCCGTTCAAGCAACTCAGCCATGTCTGAATGGCTATAAAGCTGGCATCGCGTTAAAAAGAAATCCCATTTTAGTATAAAAAACAAACAAAGCAAAAGCAAGCCTATCTTCTTCTTTCTTATGTTGACAGTAAACGACGAAACGGTGCGTTACTGCCACTAACTGGTACAATTGGAGGACTGCACCCGCAGCCATTTATTCCACTTAGAAACAACGCAATCTCTTGTTTCCTGCAAAATATCTCTTAAACCCTATTTTAAATTAATTTCTCAAAGGCTTAGAATTCAGCATCCCCTCTCATTTTAAGCATTACATGTTAAAGAAGGTTCATGGTTTATTGTAGTAGTTTGAGCAGTTCACTGTAGATAGCTCCACCAAAGCTAACATGAAAATCACGCCCTTGCTTATGGCAACAGTTTATTATATGCTTTATATAATTATAAAGCAGAGTGATTACTGACAGTGTAAGTGCCTTTCATTTAATAAGCTAGACTTGTGGTCACACCCTAAACAATTTCGTCTGTTTTGGCTTTGATTGACTGTGGTCACGCACTGTTCAAACTTCATCAGCAGTGGTATGAAGAAACACTGTCTCTGTTTTGTTTTTCAACTGAGGCCCAAGCAGAGCATTTGGTGATACTTCCTTTCTGCGATCAGTCCTTTTTACCTGGAAGTAACAAACCAGTCCATTTTTGTGGCACACAGGTATCCATCCACCTGCATTTCCAATTTTAAGTTTATTTTCCTTTAATTTCCACTTTAAGTAGCTTTGAGAAGAAGAAGAAGAAGAAGAAGAAGAAGAAGAAGAAGAAGACATACATAAATAATCCGTATGTAAGGGAAATTACATTTTTTTCACTCTGTAGTTATTATATATACACACACACACACACATGCACAAACAGGACCCATACACATGCATTACTGTATGGAAAGATGTCAGAGCAAGTAGTTGGCGCCACAAGCAGGTCTTGCCCAAGGTAGTTAGGGGTTCAGGGCCTTGCTCAAGGCCATTTACCGACACAATGACTTTGGAGTGTTATTATTTGAGTTGTACGCTGTCATGAATTCATCCTCCTTAATGTTTTCCACAACAAATCTCATTCAAAATCCTTCTCCTCTCTCACAAAGCCCTCCATAACTAGGCCCCCTAACTAACTGACCCGCTCCTCCGACACACTCCCTCCCATAAGCTCCACTCTTCTGACGCCAACCTCCTGTCTCTGCCTCTCAGGACCAAGCATCAGACCTGGGGCGACAGAGCTTTTCCATAGCTGCCCCATCCTTCTGGAACTCTCTGCCCAAACACATCTGAGACTGTCTGACCCGTCCACGTTAAAATCACTAATCAAAACCCATCTTTTCAGGTCCGCTTTTAATATATGATTGACAGATGTGTGTTGTATATCTAGGCCTACATATTATTATGCCTTTTAACGGCCCTTTTAACTTGTATATTTTAACCAATGTACAGTGTCTATGAGTAGGATAAAAAACTGCTCTATAAATAAAACATATTATTAAATTACTTGAAAGTCACATGCTTGCATTGTATCCCTGCAAACACAAAGAAATATGTAATTACAGCACTTCACCATAAAGGAACTCCTGGAATGTGTCAAACATCTTAGACTGATGATATTCGTGTAAACATGGACATGGGCAAGTCTCTCAAGAGACAAAGGAGTAGGTTTACATTCAGCTTTTGGGAAGTCACATTTTGGATCAGACTCATGCAAGGCAGTAAATCACTCTGACACACCAAGGGCGTTCATTTTTGTCTGTTCAATACTTTCCATCTGCAATAGATTGACAGGAACATGATGCACTTGTTTGGCCTGAAAAGAAAAGAAAGACATCAGGCATCCAGTACACAGAAGGTGTGAGGAGTGATTTATGAGTGAATGAGAAATGTTTTGTAAGAAACACAGCTGAGTTGATCACTGACTGAAAGGCGCATTTTTATTAAATCTTGAAATATTGCACCCTAATAAAAACACTTTTCAAATAACAAGGAGATTGTTTGATAGGAAGAAAATGCTGCCTTCCAAATGAAGTCCAGTCAAATATTTTCTTTATTACTTTTATTAAATCAACTGAGTCAATTAAGTCAACATCAGTCTGTCATTCTCTGTATATTTGTAATCTCGGGCAGTTGCTATTTATGCCAGTTTGTCTGCCAACTAAGAATCACTGCCAACTAAAAGTCAAGTTTGAAATGGGCATCTACAACACAGGAAGATAAATGACTTGCCTTCAAAACAACACAGCATAAATTAGTTAGATATAGCATAGGAATGAAATTTCACGATTTTTTCACACATTCTTTTTATTATTTTGTTGTATTTATAACATACATTACATGGTATGACTTTATTATAAGCATAATATGAAGTCATATTTACACTATACTGATGTACTTTATACTGTTTCTTTGTATTTTATAAATATGTATTTATTTACATATACAAACATTTTTACACACACACACACACACACACACACACACACACACACACACACACGTATGTATATTTATATTTAATTTTATGAACGGCTGTCCCCAGTGATAAGAAAAACAGAAAAACACTAAAAGGTTTTAAAATAGCTAAATATATGCATACCTACATATTAGGCTACATTTACAGCACCGTACATGAATGTGCAGTGTCAGTGAATTTTTTTCTTTTTTTAATATGGGCTAGTATTTGATCCCTACTTTAATCTGAAGAATCGTGAGGGAAGTCGTGTTCTGTTGTTAATGCCGGGAGTGTGACAGTAGTGTGCAGCAGCAGCTGTGTGCCCTGCCCAGTTTATTACACTGTGATCTTGCCGTCAGCGAACACACTCAACCTATTGCACTTCAACTCTGCAGTGACTCAACATGTGAACCATCAGGATGAAGTTGTGAAGTTGGAAGGACTCATGCTGTAGCTAGCTGCATCAGCTGATTTGTTTGGGTTTTTTTTTTTCAAAACAAACTCACTGTTGATATGAAACGCATGGATTATGGATCGAATATGGATATTCTGCAAAATCCTATTTTTTCTAAGTGTCAATGTGAATTCATCGTCGCATGACGGCGACGACGCTTCTTGTGATGGAGCGTTCGATATTTATTTTGTATTAGACAGGTGAGAGAATGTGTCGCTTTTATCTGTCTGCGTGCTTGTGTTTGCTTAAAGGAATAAGGGAGCCAGCAGGGAACAGACCAGTATATTCATTTAATATTTGCTTCCTAAGTGCAGAGACACTTGACTCAGTCCTCTCCATGTATGGCTGTGTTTAGCTTTCCTTGTCCCCTTGTTCCTTGGCTGCTTCACTGCAGATTTGACTGAGTTTATTTTAATCGTTTTCTGTACTGACCATCAGTGTTGGGGTGTATAGCCTACATAAAAAAGTTCACTTTTATAGCCCCCGGAGTTCCTCTCAGTGTATTAGGTAGTTGTTAAGAATGAAGTGCTCAATAGACTTTCCAACAACAACAGAATAAAGAAACCATCATCCTGGTATTTTTATGCATGGAAAACATTTTTCTGTCTGGATGGATCTGAAAAATAGAGGTGCACGGAAAGTTTAGAAAACTTGATAAAATGTGAGATTTCTACATAAAACAAAATTTTTAAAAAGGTATTTTTACCATTTGCATTTGTTTTTCTGTTTTCATTTAATTTATTTTGAATTGCAATTATTCTATTTAGTGAGCTTACAACAGTCGTTGCAGCATCAAAACATAATGCATTATGCAGCATATACAGAAAATATAAGATATACAAATTAAGTTTGGTTTAATTGATTAATGGTCATCCCCCTGTTTTTACACCACTGTTGTCACCTGAGTTGGACATTTTTGGTGTTAAATCTTGTGTCGGGATATATTTGATATTTCACATTTGGGTATTCTGATATACAGTATCACCCTGGTGCTGCCTGTTTCCGCAGGTCAGGCAGTGTGATGGGACACTGGGATGAGATCTTTGGATTTGTGGAGCAGCTCACCAACAGGTTTGTCAGGTAAGTAAAGTGGCTGTGCTTTTTAAATGTTGTGATGGTCATCCCTCCATTCTCTCTCCTGCCTCCTACTCCTCTCATGTCCTCCTCAGATTTTACGGGTATTTAAATCGCCTCAGAAAATATGGAATAATACAAAACTTTATATACCACAGTTCCAAACAAAGTGAAAATGGTCTTTACAGACAACCAGACAGATTAAAATTGAACTTGAGTTATGTAGCAGAAATTAAACCAATGAAAAAAGATTATTTAAAGGGCCAGGAGACTTTATATGTCTTTAAATTATAGTAGAAACATTATTAGTGAGTAGAAAAGTAGTGCATGTCTATTTTGGGTAGCAGACATCATACAAGGCCAACTGCTCCGAAACCCCTCTGGGTAATGGTGCAGAGGGTGTGTGATATCTTTAGGTTTAATAGCTGGTTGCTAAATATGAGAGCAAAACATCCAGCAGATGTTGAAAGTGGTGCAGACCACAACAGACAGTCCTGTCCCTATTCATGGCTGAAGGGTAGAGAAAGGAAGTAACATCGACGGGGGTTGTCTTTTGAGATGTTGTCTAGTGATTTGGATTCAGTAATATCGCTTCATCATATCACGTTAATTTTTATCTTTATGTCAGTGCCATATAATGTCATGTCATGCTCTGTTGCAGTGTTGCATGTATAAAGCATATCATATGTCACATGCATTATTGTGGCTCGCTACGGTTCTTCATGTCATATAATATTATTACTGTGGATTAGATTCAAATTCATTGTCATTGTACTCTGTAAGTATACAACAAAATACAGTTCAGCATTTAACCAGACAGTGCAAACAGTAACAAAAGGGCATATAGAGATATAGAAAGATACCCTAACTAAACCTAGGGAGAATGGTCTTGTGTTGTACTTTATCTTGGCATACCTTCCCAAAAAGTCATGTAATCATGTAATGTCAAGTTATGTCATCTTCTGTTTCAGTACATTATACAGTATACCATGTATTATCACATTATTTCATGGAATCCTATTGGCATTGATGTTTTAATCTCCTTTCTGTCATTCATATGTAATAGCACTTACGGGAATCCTTTTTGTTGACTTAAGTTCCAAAACCACTTACAATTATTGGCCTTAAAAGCACCTAGTTTCTGATGTTGTTTGCTTGTGTAGATTCACATAATGTGTGTGCGTATGTGTGTGTGTTTCAGTCCCAGGATGAGGGTTTCCTACATTGTCTTTTCAGCCAAAGCTGTCGTAATACTGCCACTAACTGGAGACAGGTACGGTCCGCAGTTTTTAAAATGTCCCTCTCTTCTCTTTCTTTCCTTCTCTACCTCACTCCCTAACCCATTCCTCCTCTCTGAAAATCTAACACCATAACGCTGATAACCAGATCACACCAGTCTTTATTTGCACTGCGTTTTCTGTGTTTTGTGGTCTGGCTCCACAGGGGTATGATAGATGAGGGTTTGAGGAAGCTGAGCCAAATCAAACCTGCTGGTGAAACGTACATGCACGAAGGCATGAAAGCGGTAAGTACGCTCATTTAAAGGCCTCATCAAACATTGTGGTCTTTGACACTTTGTTGTTTCCAACAGAAACTGCCACTTAAAGGGGAAATTTAACACAATCAACTGGCTGAATTTGCTTAGATTTTAGAACAAGGGTTGTAAAATCTCTAAAACGACAAAAAAAACAGCTGTTGGTTATGTGCCATGTTGGTTCTGTCATACTGTGCAGTGGTATCAAGCAGTTCCAGATCTGGCAACAGAAAATATTTCAGCAAGCTCTCTCTTCAGGTGTCAGAGCAGATGAAGGCACAAACTTCGCCGTCATCCAGCATCATCATCGTCCTGACTGATGGCAAGCTGGAGGTCTACCCCTTTGAACTGAGTCTGCAGGAGGTATCGAACACCAACCCGCACCCACAGCCCCACACACAGACTTTACAGAAGATCATTCTAATAACAATGCTATGGTAGGTAGGATGAAGAGTGAAAACGATACTGTGTGGAAATAATGTTAAAGTTCATAATGAGCATCCCATCCCTGAACACCAAGAGTTCCATTGTTTTATGACTCTTTCCAAGCAGCCATCGGTTTGCATTGAGGAGACACACTGACACATGCACACACTCCAATCACTCTAACAACAGTTTCAAGGGTCTGCGTGTTGATTTTTGTATCATGTTGCATGAACTGAGACAGTTGTTGCTTGGAGGAAACATTTATCACTCTAAAACCTTAGAGTATGTATGTCTGGAAAGTGGTAAGTTTTAAAAATGAATATACAAGACTGAAGATAAAAACAGTCATATGATCTTTTATCAATTATTTCTTTTCTGATAACATAAACATAGATTTACTGTGTTTCAGTAGAAGCTGAACTGAGGACTTCACTCTTTGTGTTGTGCTTTCCAGGCTGACAAAGCCAGAGGGTTTGGAGCCAGAGTGTACTGTGTTGGTGTCATGGACTTTGACCACAAACAGGTAGGAGGATTTTTGTATCCCCTCTCTCTTTACTTTGACTTGTTGGCCTGTGGGAAAGAACACTTCTCTCTGTTACGTTACTGATACTGTTGGTTGCTTAAACACTGAGGTTTTATTTGTCTTTCTGTGTGTGTGTGTGTGTGTGTGTGTGTGTGTGTGTCAGCATGTGTTGTGGTCAGAGCTTCAATAGGCTGCTGTTTTTGGCCCACATTTATTAACACACCATGACCTCATGGCTTAGTCTTTGTGAGTTCAACTGGAACCTCCTAAGGACAGAAGAGCAAGCAGCCGGCAGGGGTTTCTAGTTTATGGTTTGTGCTGAATTTAGTTTATGTAAAAACATGGAATGCATTTTGTAAGGTAGCATGTTTTCAGAGACTTTGTTGTCTTCTTGTACAGGTATTGGGTTTTCAAAGGGACCATTGTGTTTGGGATGAACTCTGTAAGGATGAAACCTAATGTGTCCTTATGTCTTCTGCTGACTGTGTTAACTGTAACGCATACAAAGGGGAAAAATGCATTATCCCATAAAACACCAACATGATTAAGAGCCATTGGTCTGCAGTGTTTGTAGTAATGCTGTGATATGTGATATTTTCTACAGTCAACATCAGTTATCTTTAATAAAATCGACAGTGCAACGGAAAAACTGTAATTATATTTGTTGAGAGAAGATACTCACAATATTGAATTTAAAATGGCATTCTATACAGCCCCCGCCCCGAATCATTCCTGCATTATGTGTTGGTGTTGCAGCAGCTTTTATCACATTATGGTGACAGTATTGACCTGCATAATAAGTATTAATAAGCATATAGGAATGGCTTCAAAATTGCATAAAGCCTGACTAGGAAAGTCTACAGTAGTCAACCAGAGCAAGCATTCTTCTGCCCGGTTACTGAGCTAGTATACTTTGCAGTCTGAGGAGGAAATAATTACATCACTCTCTAATTAGATAATGCCAGACAAGCTTCCTGTTCTGTTATCATTAAAGCAGCAGATGAAAGCTTCAGCCAGCTGCCCAGAGCTTTCATCTCCTAGAAACCGACTTTCCCTCCCTAATCACTGCCAAGGCACTTAACAAAAATGAGCAGAATACCTCCCAGAGAGGCGGCAAGAAACGAACACTGAAAAAAAATTGTAAAGATTAAAGGTGCACAAACTGTAGTTCTTTTCTTTTCTGTCACAGCTTGCTGAAATAGCAGACGGCACAGAACAAGTCTTCCCAGTGCTGTCCGGGTTTCATGCCCTTAAAGACATCGTCAACTCGGTGAGGTCACGCCACTTGTAACAATTCACAAACACGTTCATTGGCGCACCGTGCGACAGTGGTATCATGCTGTGCCAGAACCGTACAACCTGAGCTGTTACCGTTATCTGTATCTCCACACAGATCCTGAAGCAGACATGCGCAGATGTATTCACAATAGAGCCGTCGAGTGTTTGCGTGAATGGTAAGTTAGTGGGGAAGAGTTTGTTGCATATGTAATGTTTTGAATATAATAATGCATCAAAAAACATGGTGTAAACAAATGATGTAAAACGCATTTTTAACCACACTAGCAACGTGTCTCTAGTGATACGTTGGTTCATCCACCACTTTAATTCGGACTGAAATATCTTAACAAAAATTGGTTGGATTGCCATGAAATGTTGTACATACATTCATGGTCCCCAGAGGATGAATTGTAATAACATTCCCATTATTTTGCATCTATATCTCTGGTAAACATACCTGCTAAACATGTCAGCATTGTCATTATGAGCTGTGCCTAAGCTGCTAGCATGGCTGTAGACTCTTAGTTTGGTTGACTTTAATTTGCTCATTCGCCATATTTGTTATTTAATGATTGTTGTATCTGTTTGCAGTCTAAGTACATTGTCACAGTTGTGTAATGTTTCTGATGTTTCCCAGAGACTTTCAACGTGGTGCTGAGGGGCAGTGGCTTTAGCGGATCCAGGAGGACAGAAAACATTCTCTGCTCCCTCACTGTCAATCAAAAGACATACGGTGAATAAATGCGCACTCACTCAACTGATATGCTACACTTTACTATAATAGATTTTGAATGCTAATGATGCACCTATGTGGAATGAGGCGTTGTTACATGTTTACTTATGCACTTTGGGATAACATCAGCTATGAAGTGAAATGTGATACAGTGAGCTGATCTCTGTGCTGCAGTGGAAAGTCAGAATTGTGACGTACAGAAACAAACAGTGGCTGCTTTTTATTGAATTCATCCAGTGAACAGAGGAGACATTATGAGACTGAGCAAAAGGAGGGAGGAGATGTTCCTCTGTCTCATTAGTCTATTAAAAGATCAATGGGGGGGAAGGGCAGTGTCAGTGAGAGGACATGAAGGGGTAATACATAACTGTCTTTGGTTTCTTCTAACCAGTTTGTTTCTAGATGTTTTGCTGGAATATCTTTCATTCTTTCTTTTTTGCTATCACTCTGTTGCTTTCAGTTCATTTGCAACCCTGGCTGTGATGTTTATAATGTAGGGAGTGCGAGCTTTCACAGAACACATCTCGTGGATAGTAACATGAGAGAAAGTCAACAGTTTGGCCTTCTTGGACTGTAATAACATACCAACAAGTGCCCAAGCCCAAGAATAGGAGCACCTGAAGGATTTACTTAAAGCTTGAAGATATCTAAACTGGACCTTTGTGAAAACAGCCACATCCAGACACAACATCCAGGAAAAAATGCGAACACTATGGGTGATGAGGAAAAGAAGATGAAATGCAAAAACATTGTGATTCCATAAGTGTCTGGAGCATGCGAGAAACTCAGGAGGATTTTCAACAAACTCCACATCCCTGTGTGTTTGAATCTCAGGAACATGCTAAGACAGATACTGGTCTACCAGACAGACCATACATCCAAACACAAGAAAAGTAATGTAGTGTATGCTGTTCAATGCAGTGAGGAATGCACAGACCTGTATATGGAAACAAAACAACCACTACACAAACACATGGCTCATCACAGAAGGGTCAAGACTCAGCAGTCTACTTACATTTGAAGGATAAGGGACACTCTTTCAAGGACAAAATGTTCATTTGTTTTTTGGACAGGGAGGACAGATGGTTTGAAAGAGGAGCCATAGCAGCCATTTACACCAAAGTAGAGAAACCATATCTCAACAGAGGAGGAGGGCTGAGACAGCACTTATCCCCCACTTACAATGCTGTCCTTTCATCCCTTCCCAGGAGATTGAACAAACGCTCACATTTGGCCTCATGCAAACGACGGTCATTTAGACTTGGCCTCAGGCGACTCTAGTGACTGTAATGACTGTCGGTACAACATTGTTTATTACATCTACCAACGCATTATGCACACACACACACACACACACACACACACACACACACACACACACACACACACACACACATTTACTATAGAAAGGTATATTGCATCTTTTCTTTACTAATTGTTTAAAATTAGATTATGTCCCAATGCCATGACTGTACACTCATCCACGATCGATTGTTAAGCTAGTGAGTTAAACTGCCATAAGCAGCATGAAGAGAGCATGAAGAGGCAAATTTGTTGTGTTTTATTTCTATTTACAACTGAACCGCTTGGAGCTTTTGCATATTTAATTTAAGAAAAAATGTTTTTGCTTGGAAATTTCTTTATAGGCAGTAACATATCTCAGAGTTTGTCTGTTTGTCTGTTTCTTCTCAGACCAGAAGCCAACAGTAGTTAAAGATGGCTATCTGCTGTGTCCAGCTCCTGCTCTGCATGAGGTTGGACAGTAAGTCAACATACATGCGCATATACACAAAATGTTCGTAAGCTTGAGCTTGATGACAGCACAAGGCAAAAAACCTAGACTATAATTAAACATGTAATTACAACTACATTTATTGCGTAACAACAGTGTAACATTCTGTTCATTATTATTTAAAGTTAATGGTGTACAGTTGCAGTCATCCACAAAATAAACAGTAACCACAAAAATGTCCACACTTGTGTTTGAACGCCCACAGTAGTGACCGAAACTTTCATTATACATGGTCACATGGTCAGTTTTTTGTCTCATCTGTCCTTGTTTTTCTCTAGTTTGTAGCTTCTTTGTTGTAAAACCCTTGTGAATATCAGCCTTTTCTCACTCATACTGAGCCTGTGTTTGCCATAAATAGAAAAATACATTCATTTTTGTCAAAGCAAAATCCTTCTGGAAAGCAATTTAGCGTGACATTATTTCATAACATCACTACCTACTCAACATTTTTTCCTTTGTATAATCATAACACTCGGACTGTGCAAATACAGGTGGTTGAAATGAGAAATTTGTTGTGTGCATAATGGAGAGACAAAACCAGAACAATGTTTACAGCAGAACTATCTGCGAACAGCTCAAAGTGTTGGGTGAACTGAAGCCAATCTGACCAGAATAGCTCTGTGGCATTTAGATAGTGAGTCAAAGCTGATTTAACTTCACCCACTTCAAACTGCGCTCTTTCTCTGTCTGTCCCCCGTCACTGCTCACTTTCCACTTTCCATGTCTCACCCACTCTGTAACACTCCCTCAAACCTGAAACACTTAGGAAACGCATAGTTTGTAGAATTTCTCATGGACAAAGCGGAAACTATCTTAGTTGAGTCCAACCTCAAAAGTTGAAACCCAACAGTATTTAACTTCAAACTATAACTGATAACAAGGAAATCTGGCCAGAAAATGATAACAATATCAATGGCTTCCTTTTTCAGTAAGTTCTTGGCGCTAATGATGTTGGAAGGTCAACAGGGTGACTGACACTGAGAAAGCTGTTACTAAATGGCAGTGCTTCTCAAACTGTGTAGCTGATGAGCCCTTAACATAAAAAAATAAATGGTGAACAGTGCTCCTCCTTTAGGGGTATTTCACTTCATTAAGAGGCAGAACAAGGGATGCTTCATAAACACGAGGTTGAATATTCACTGCATCACCAGAAAAATGAAATCAAAAATAAGTACTCTAGCTGTTAATAGGTGTGCATGAACTTCTTTTGTTGTTTTCAGTGATTCTGTCTAATAATTGTTAGATCCATTGAAGTACTGGTTAGCCTGAACAATGGACAATCCTACATCTCCAGTCCCATCACCATCTACGCCACAACATGTGTGAGTATCAATCATATAAACGACAGGTAAGTTTGAGGTTTGAAGGAGATTGGTGGATTTGCATAATTTATACTAGAGTTCAGAATAAAGTATTAGCTCATGATATGATACTTTCATCTTTACAATATCAATACAGGCCATTCTTGTGTAGCCAATCAGTCACCTTTTACCCATCATGTCTCCTGTTATAATTGAGGAGGAACACTTGCCTCTTTAAAATGGGAAAATACGTATCTCTGAATAAAGACACACTCATGGCTCAGTTGTATTGGCGCCAGTGTAACAACAACACAAGGTACATAAACATATCTCCAGGTGTATGGTGTTGTCTGTTGCTGATTAGTGTGCGTTTGTTGCAGTCAGATGGGACCTGGGTGCTCTGGTTGCTGTTGGCTCTGTTGCTGTTACTGGCTCTGGTTTTACTCTGGTGGTTCTGGCCTCTCTGCTGCACTGTGGTGAGTTTACAGACTAGGTATTTGTGCGTATATCTCCAATTCAGGCCTTGTGGAAGCACGAGCTACAGTTATGTGGTATTGTTATTTATAGAAGAAGCCAGTAAGTTTAAGTTTTTTGAGTTAGTGTTGCAATTTAGCCAGGGTTCCTGTCATAACACTGCTATTTTTTTGTCCATGTAGACAATGTTAAGGGTTTATTACTTTGTCGTATTGTTTCCTACAGGTGATCAGAGACCCACCCCCCTCTCGCCCACCTCCCCCACCTCCCGTCATTGTGAGTAGACTACAGACAGTTGAAAAACAAATTTCTCTTACAATATTATTTTCGGCTCAAAGCTTGGGGTTTACCACGTGTTGCCATTTTGGAAGCGACTGGAGTGACTCTGTATTTCAAGAAGCAGAGTAGGGATTTCCTGAATAGAAGGAAAGAGAAGAGAAACAAGTATGAAGAGGTCAAAAACCCAGCAACACTTAAAGAGTAGTATAAAGAGCGACTTCACGCCAAGACCACCATGTTTTGGCATGTAGCCTTCACTAGAAATTCAATTTTAAAACTTGAGTTATGTGTTTAAGGAAGGGAATCTATTTTTGTGGCAAATTTGTTTTATAGAAAGTTCTCTGTTGGCATTGTAGTGTTACATATAAGAAGTGATGTTCCTGGTAAATGTTTCCCCACTGCAACTACATTTTCAGTGTCTTATAAATCCTTGTGGGCTTTTATGTGCATTACACAATACGCGTGAATGAAGCAAACACACTTCTAAACATTCCTCTCTTTAAGCCTTACTCTCTTTTTAATAAAATAATATAAATAGTGTCATTAGCTAAGACCGTAATGTAGAAAAAAGTTTTCATTTGAAGAGGGAAGCTTAGTTTTTGAATAGATCTTGTGCTTGAGACTTTAGTGGTACTGCATCACTTGAGCGTGGTGTTGACTCATTTCAAAATGTTTGTCACAGCATTAATATTCATATTAAGTCTGTGTAGGACTGAATGCCTTGGCCTAAAATGTATATCATAATTTAAATTTTGGATAGTAACAGTATAAAATTTTGTGTAATCGTTTAAAAGGTTATGTTATTTGAATTTTCTTCTGTTTTCAAGGAGCCAGAAGAAGATCTTTTGCCCAAACACAGGTGGCCTACAGTGGATGCTTCATACTATGGAGGCAGAGGTCCTGGAGGGATCAAACGCATGGAGGTAAAATAAAAATACAGAAACACTAATCAGTTTAGTTTAATTTTGTATTTTTACCAACATTCATTTAGGCAAACTTAAACGTTGTAATGAAGTTTTCATGAACATACTATATTATTGGGGAGATCTCATCTGTGTTGATTGTCTCTGACACCATGCTGCCACTAACACACGTCTGACATTTATACCCGTGGTGTGCAGGTGCGTTGGGGGGAGAAGGGGTCCACAGAGGAAGGGTCACGGCTAGAGAAAGCCAAAAATGCTGTCATCACCATGCCAGAGGAAGTGGAGGAGCCCATCATACCCCGGCCCCCACCACGACCTCCTCCAGTCTACAACCCCCAACAGTCCAAATGGTATACTCCCATCAAGGTGAGACAATAGCCTCATTAATCACCAATCATTAATGATCTCTTTGCATTAGGTGATGTCTGTCTTTAGTGTGTGAACTTGTACTCATCAACCTTGCACATTGGTAGATATACCGCATCAAGAATTCCAAATATATATAATTCTCAATATATCACTGCCGTTCCTTCACATACACACATGTATATCTAAATGCTTTGATGAACATTCTTTATCTGTATTTTTAGGGGCGTTTTGATGCGTTGCTGGCATTACTGAGGAGACAGTACAACAGAGTGGCAATCATGAGACCGACATCGCAGGACAAGGTGAGAAACATCTGCAGTACTTCGCTCCGAAAACAATTCAGCCCTTTAGTCGGATGAAAGAAAAAATTGCCGCTTATTAATTTTGAATATGTTGTCATTTCTTTTAGTCGAACTGTCTGCAGTCACCAAGGAATAAAACAGTTTTTGCTATGAAGTGTCACCAGTTAATTTGATGAGAAAATGGATCCACCCTCTTGACTCCACAATGATTTGATTAGACAATAACAGAAAATGATACGGATCACTCTTCCCCCTCTAATTATCTACCCAACAGACAAATAACAGCTTACTGAATCAACTCAGTTGTTATAAATAACAGTCTAAATGTCAGCGCTTGCAGAGTGCGTCATCAAACACAGCTTTAATAAGCTACAGGCCCTCCAATGATTTAGGATTGTTTTCTTCTGATCTGATATTCATGATTTATCTTCATATTTTGTCCCTCTGTGTGTTTCAACATTTCAATCATAAATGGCATAAAATTTGGAAGGATGCTGCATTTTCACACTGTGGTCAAGTGTTTAAATGTGTTATGCCCTCATGGGCCCCAATAGTTAAAAGAAGAATGCATTTTGGCTGCATTTTTTTAAAGGTTCAGTGGTGAAGGTTGCAAATTACAATTAGTGGTTCGGTGCATTCATGTGCTCTTCTGATGGTCCCATTTCCTGAGTTGTGAAGTCGTTCTTCCAACATCAGGGTGTGTTAATGTGCTCCTAAGTTGGTATGTGGAATCAACATGGACATGGACACACATACATCTAGTTCCCTCTACATGGACCGCAAACTATGTAAATGCAATACATGATTTTGCACGAATCAAAGTTCTGTATACTTCTTTATGTCCCATGTACACTTTATTTCTGTCTTTGCAATAAAGATTTTAGGAGGAAAAACAGATTTGGTTATTCCAACTCCACATGAATGCACCATCAGTCACCGCTCAACCATCCCTTTCTAACATTACTTCTTCTTTGTATGTATTCAATGTAGTGATGAAATGCGCTCTGTAGAGACTTTTGTCCGTTGGTGTTACTGTAGAAACACAGCAGCGCAACATGCTGACATCCATGTAAGGTTACCCGTGCTGTATGTAGATACAAATGCCTCATTCTAAGGTAATAAAAACGGTTCATTATGTAAGGACACCACTGAAAACATCCTCCTAAATATTACACACTGAACCTTTAAAGCAAGAAATTGGCCTGATGCAGGTGCAAGGCTTAAACGTGAACAGGTTTCTGCAGAAGATGCAACATTTGACTTGATTTGAAGGTTTTTTCTTTCATTTATAAATTATGTTGACATTTTGGCAGGTAATGGATCATGATGGCTTTCATTTATGCTAATTCAAAAACATTAACTCTGCTTGCTTGTGTTGTTATATATCATACTGTTTCAAAACTAAATTTTTGGTTAATATTTTACTGCAGAAGGTATCTATCTACATGTGAATGTAGTGTCTGTCTTTTGTTTTTGTTTGTCTCCAGGGCCGCTGCATTAACTTCACCAGAGTTCAGAGTCACTGATGTTCAAACATGAGGATCAACGCTTTTCACTTATAGTTTTTGGCCAAGGACGACACATTCAAGAGCTAAACGTTAAGATTCAATGTGTATTGTAAATAAATGTGTTTACTTATATCTTGGTGTTATTGCATTGAGGAATTGGTGACCTGTTTTATTACTTTTGTTTGTATCAGTTAAAACCAAAGCAAAGAACACATTAGTCAGTTATTCCGTTTATTTGAAAGAAAAAATATAATTCTCTTTTCACAAAGACCTTCAGTATAAGTACCCTGACTGGTAACACAAATGATACACACATAAAAAAAGATTGAAAGAAGCACAGATGAGAAAAACACTTCTAAATGAAACAAATAAACAAATAAAATGAGCTTTTTAAAAATCATACAAATAGCGTCACGTTCACTCACAGGCAGATTTTAAAGGCGCACATCAAGATCACGTCATTACGGATGAGATGAAGAGGAGGGTGAGGTTTCTGTTTGTATTTAAGCTGCACATACACACCTCAGTTTGTGCTTCATTCAGACACAAAACACTTCTTTGTCATACATGAACTGGTGTTGTCTTAACTAGTTGTCTTAACTAAATAGCTTACCAATGCAGAGCCAGCCAACCAGCAACAAGCTCGTGGTGAAACAGATAAAAGTACATGAGGAAAAAACATTTTAACTTCTGATACAAAAAACAACAATGTAATACTGTATAGAAAGACACCTTAAAAATAGGAGTCACTGTATCCTATAATACAATACACAAGAACCCACTGAAGTGCATTTCATTTACCTTGCATGATTAGCATAATGTTGCTGACACAATTTTGCATCACCAATACGGAGTCAAAGTGCGCACGCCACAGCATGTTTACAACCAAACAGCATGATTAATGAAAACGGTCTATCTAAAATGTGTTGGGAAATATGCAGCTGATGTACTGACTTGTGTTTAAATTAGATAAAAGGCTTGAATGAAATAGCTGGAAACTGGTGCTGCTTTGTGCAAAAATTGAGAGCAAATGGACTGGATGTGGTGCAGTGGCTGCTCAAGATGTTAAAATCAACACAAGACAACAATGCATACAGCACCACTTCTAAAGCAGCTGTCAGCCTGTTACTTATAATACAAATCAATGAAAATCAGCTCTTCCTTTCGGAGTGGATGTTTCCTCTCTTTGTGGTTTTTGACCGAACTCAGCCAGGACATCCGCAGGGAAGCAGCGCTAATGTTGCAATATAACCAATCGGGTCCATGTGTGTCTGACACAGAGACCAAACCAGCCCCTCGTGCTTATAAGCATGAATCCCTCCACAATATGAAGCTGTTTCGCCGTGATGAAGGTAAACTGGAGATATAAACAAGATCCACACATGTTCTGCAGTGAAATCCAAGCACCTTGGACAGAACTGGAAGGAGAAGAAGAAGCACAGCTGACGATCCAAATCAGTAATCCCAGCTCCTGTTGGGAATCCTTTAGGTTCAAATGATTCCAGTTCCTGAACGCTTGCAAGGCAGAGGGTTATATTAATAACTGCAGCGTTATGGTCCTTTGGCACTGGGTGGTCATCAAGGATCTGATTTATAAATCATTTATGCTCCTTGTAAGCCTCAAAGCCCACATATTGTAATATGTTCTTCTGTTCATCTGTGAGAATAATGGCAGAGCTACGTTTGTACTCCTGTAGATCAGTATTTGTCCAAGGCCTAAAATATGGCCATGGGGATGTAAAAAAGTGTCCAAAGATAATATGGAGGAAGCTGTAGCTTTAAAGGACCTCGTTCATTTACAGTCATACGGAGGATTGTCATTCTCTTAGGATCGATTCTCTCGATGCAGAAGGGAAGATCTGTGTAAAAGAACATAGATAATCAGCGTCAATACGTTGATTTGTTATATGTTAGGGTTCAGACTTCATTGTTCTGGAGTGTGTGCATGTGTGTGTACACCCACCTAAGAGACCTACGACTGTCTTTCTCCATGTTGTTCTCAGGTCCTTCACTCTCATAGGAAGCCAGATGCAGCTCTGCAGCCATAAAACAAGACAAAGTCTGACTTTAATTTGTCCTCCGACTTGGTGCAAACTGCCGGACGGTAAACGCAGAGAATATTATATACTGACCGTCTTCGCTGAAGACAGGCGTGGTGACGAGGTACTGGAGGATCCGGCGGTCTCTGTCAAACGGACAAACCACCTGACGCCATACCAGGAACTCGCTCACCTGCTTTGCAAGCTCCCACAGTTTCTGTTGGGACACAGTGACAACAAACTTTATTCACAAACTGACACCGGTTTAACAAAATGCATGTGGCTGGCTCTTGCAGCTCCAGGAAATACACAAATACCATTAAGATCATGAAGCACAAAAAGAAGATTGTCAGCAGTAAAACTGTTTGTTAATACCATCAGAAGAAAAAAGTAAAAAAGTAAATGTAATACTATTTTTAGCCACAAGGGGGAGACGTTAGATCACATGTAAAAGCCTCTTAACAAAGCCCATTACTGTGTAGTAGTTATATCATTTCACAGTGAATGATCAAATATTACTGTGTTTAAATAAGCTTCTATTTTTTTTTCACCGTTAATATAATAAAACCTGGCATTTTAATTGTGGACTTGCCTCAAAGTTAATGTGTCCGTTGGACAGCCTGCTGGCACAGCCTTCATTCAGGAAGTAGATATCTTTAATGAGGAGACTGAAGAAAGGAATCACAATCTGGAGGAAAGAGGCAACAGCAAGTTTATATTGACATTTTACATTTAGGGCTTTAGGTTTTTTTTCTTTCTAGAAGAATCCAGTGTGCTCTCCTACCTTCTCCTGGCTGCTGTGTGCGGTCTCAGACCTCTGGGTGGCGCCACGTAGCGCAGTGCGGTAGTTGCTGAAGTTACTGGAAGGGTCCATCTGGTGCTGCATGAGGTCAGACAGAAACAGACATTGATCAAACACATATACATACATTTTTAGCAAACAATGTAATTGCAACATAAAATCTTCAATCCACTTTATCACCAATGTATTCAGATTTTTACCTCCAGAATTTCGAACTTGTCGGTGTTGACTTTACTCCACGTTTTCCTCAGTCTGGCAACTGGACTCATGTTCATCCCAGCTGAGAGACAGAGATAGTGTGACTATACAGTGTATTTCCAGATGCAGACCTAAGAAACTGAGCGGGCAGGACTGCTTCGAGCCTCCACTAACTCAGCTTGTACTTCTTGAACTACAGCCTAAATTCCGACTGGCACTATATTTGGAAAGGATGGAACAACAATTTAACTGCAGTGTTTCCTACTTCAAACACAAGCTGTGACAAAGTGGTTTGTGAAATCAAGAATAAAGCTGATTCCTGCTGTATGTGGGGATGCTGCAGGATCTACTATCTTTATAATGTGTGCCGACACAGGTTTAAGCACCCTGGTGATTCTGCACAGAAATCACTTGTCATCCAAGCAGTGTTGGGGATGGAGCTATGTTGGCTGCATTTCATTGGTTAAATGTGAGTTTCTGTATGTCCAATACTCACTGATGATGGCCATGAGGGAGTTGAAGTTGCCGATGTTGAAACACTCCTGAGCCACGTCAATGAAGAACTCGATGATCCGTGCTCTGTGCTTCTTCTTCATTGGCTGTAATGAGAGAACACAACAGGAGGTGAATCACAGACTCCTTCGTCGCCTGCCAATAAATATCTGGACAATTTCAACCTTAATCATTTTTTATAAATACATGTTTTCTGAGCAGAAACCAGATATTGATTATGCTACAGGAGAAGTTTAGGCATTTTGTTTTATTAAGTTTTGTTTTGTAAGCATTGTGAAGTTGTTCCTTGGTCCATAATTATTTATATCAAACCCTAAATGGTCAACTGCTGCCTGTTTCAGAATGAAGCATAGATGAATAGCTGAAACTTGCCAAATAAACAACAAGAGCCCTGGTGTGTGTAAAACTGACTTATAGCAGAGATTTCTGAACTTTAAGTACAACATACCATACAGATCTCAGTGGCCACCAGGTAACTCAATCTGTTGAACCAGTTGATGTAGGCCTCCAGGTTACTGGTTTTGCGCTTGCGGAAGAAACCCTTAAAAAACAAAAATGATGGAGAAGACACATTTACACACATGCATGTCCACAGAATTACAATTATACATGTTGTTAGGGGTTTTATCAGTATTTCCATATCATTCTTTCAGTATTTCATTGTTTTATGGACTAAAGTATTTTAGCAAGAAAGCTGAACTGGGTTGTGGGCTTTTAATACATTCACACTGTTTAATTCATGAAAAAAGCTACCCTTACTAGATTTTTCTGGAGTTCTCAACTGTATCACATGGTTCCCCTCAGCAGATGGTGCTAAGAGTACTGACAAAAGCACTGAGTAATAATGCACAGCAAATACTGAACTGAACTCTGTTTGCTGAGGAATACCATAAGATGCCGATGAAAGCCCTGGAAACAGCTGGACCATTTTTTTGTTATGATTAATTTTTTGGCTTTTTTTGTGGTATGTTGAGCACGTTTTAATTTTTTATCTTTCAATCAAAATCTGACCAGACAAATTCTGCTCAGCTCATACCTTTCTTAAGAGTAGCCACTAAATCATTTTAT